GTTTGACATGGGATGTCAGATTTGTAGCTATCAAACGTGATGCCTGGGGGTGTGATATCATTTGGTCCAATGATCATTTCACTGAGCATTAAATATCATTATTACATTTCCAGATGCCTTCTAATGTGATACAATTTGATAAAACTGTTGTCAAAAACTACATTGCTTTTTTCAACTGGTTACCTCTATTACACTGATGTAAATAACCATTACTCACCATCAAATATACCACTCTCAAGAAGATTCCCACTTTTTTCTAATGCTATAAATTCATCAGTAGTTAAGAATGTATAATCCACTCCATTTAGTTCTCCATTCCTTGGAACACGTGTTGTACCTAATGGTAATATAACATATTAAAATAGATACACAACTCATTACACACAAATGCAGCTACTGCATCTGTGATAATACTAATGGTATATATTTCAAGAATTCACAGTCATAAGTTGGAATTATATATTGATTTAAAAAAACAGATCAAAGACAACATAGAAAACAAAGGTTTGCATTGTACTTACATGGTACTGTACGTAAATACAGATTGTCTCTAATGGTTTGCTGCAAATCATGATCAATGGATCCCTTCTGAAATCTGGTATTCAAATAACGCCTCAAGTCTTTGCTTATGTTCTGACCTGAAATTTGTAAACAGAATGGATATAAGGCATAATAATCAAGAAAAAAATAGTCATGTGGCCCTGTTGCTTAATATTCATTAACAGCAAAAAATCATAGTTTTATATTCATACAATTCTGGTCATTTGAGCTGAACAAAATGAACAAACTTCCAGACACAACACCAGCACCTTTTACATGAAAATGTACATGAGGAGACTAATCTATACAGTAGAAATCTACATGTATGTATGTAATTAATTAATCCATAACCTGGGATACATTGAAAGAAAAGTATGATACAAATGTACTACACTGTACAATCGACTAATTCAGACTGCAATTTTTATTGACCAAATGTACATACATGTATATATAGAACACTCATTGTTGAAAGTCAAAATGGCTATAAAATAACTGATCCAATACTGCCTTGTAAATAAGTCGAAACAACAACAGTTCCCACTTAAGTTATTTCAATAACAATGAATGAACCATAAATGTAGTCTCTATCACAAAGAGAGTGTTTCAACATTCAATGATAGGACAAAACCAACATCCTGCACAAGAAATTTAACAGGTAGTTCTTCATGTCGCACACTGTACTGTATGTTATAGACTTGTGAACTTCAACTGTATAGTGTGTTTTATATATAATATATATATATATATATGTATCGGCCTAAAATTAATTATCATAGTGTATTTTCATTGTGTGATTTCAAGCTAAATTTAAAGTGCCTATGCAATGCCGACCCACACGCTTCCTATTTTAGATCTGTGCCCCACTGAAATGTGCAATTATTGATTTTTTTGCTGAAAATGATTACTCGTATTCAAGTAAATTTGAGATATTTCCTGTGCTGTAGCCACGCCCACTTATCCTGAAACGATCCTGGGCTGTACTTTTATATCACTGTGTCATTCAACATACTTTTAAACGATACACATTTTTTGATCGACGTTTCTTTTTGTCTATTTTATTTTAGAGAGAGCTTTAAGTTTTAGAAGTTGTTTTCACAACAAACATTTATGATGGTTAAACGTTGTGTTGTGGGCGGTTGCAGTAATGCGTATAGTAATAGTGTAAGTATTTACATGTACCAATCGAAAGCCGTGAAAATAAAGAGAAAAGGTTGGGGTGGACTTCTTCCATTTTTCGAAAAACTGTCCTTGTCCATGACAAAACAACTAGGATTTAACGAGAAACGACGACTACTTAAACCTGGCGCAATACAAGACTTTTTTGAAAAAATAGATTCCGGACCAGCCCATGATCACTGACGCGGATTTCAGAAGGGAGAAAAACGTCAAGTAAGTGTTTCAAATGATTTGATTTTTTTGCGATCCTGATTATCGCTTTATAGAGACCACCAGTGTTATGTAAAAGGTAGCAGTAATTTTGATGAGTTATGACACGAAAACGAAGCGTCGGACAAACAGGAAATTACGCAGCCCTCGGGCTGTTTTCATTTTTGCAGGCTAAAAGTGTCTGAATTATTCGGTGATTGGTGTTGAATGTCGAATTTACACCTTTGTTGCCTTTACTTGCAGCTTGATCTGCATAATACGGTAATTTATGGAATGAGAATCCGGGCTTGGGCTGTCAATGTATTTTTTTAATATGTCATAATTGTGAAAATCATGCTAAATCCAGTCTGAATTTGTCTGTATGTGAGTCGCTCTCAATTATTTTTGTTATCCAATTAAACACCGCCATTCACGCACTTGTCCCCGTCATGACCCGACGCGTTCACCCATTACAACAAATTTATTTCCATGCAGCAGTCATTTATTTAGTGACTGTGTTTTTACATGTATCGGCAATGCAAGCTACCCAGAAACTTCCCCTTCTGACGTCACAGGGGGAATTTCTGTATGCAAATGAAAAGCTAATGAGAAGCCTCGTTTTAAAATACACAAAAATAAAGGTGCTGTAGACTGAATTTAAAACGCATTTTTTCACTTAAAAATACTAATTTATGCTTAGAAACATAAAAATTAATAATATTTATGTATCAATGGATAATTTTAGGTGTGAAAATAGCAGCCATTTCACAGGCACTTTAAACCCAAAATCACATGTTCAAAATAGGTCAACACTAGCTCCAAACAGAAAAATTGTCAAACTGGGATCCTGAGAATTAAGTCAGCTTTGAAGAGTACCTGGTGCCATGTTTGAGACATCTTCGCCGATCAAGGACCATTTTTTCGGCCGAAGCCTCAACATTAACCCTTGGCAGATTTCACAACAATTTACTGTATGTCGCACTCCCTCAAACGATTATAAGATTCACTAGGGCTCATTTGATTTACCCAATCAGAACTTAGGATATAAACGACATATTAATTGGTAAAATCGTGGTGATAGCTCGGTTGAATATAGTAATCAACGTGTTGCTAGTTTTTTCTCTGTGAACGAGCATACTGACCATCAAAAGAAAAAAACATAGTGCTGTTTCTAAGGGAAATAATGTGTTGCAATGAAGAACGGATCGACATGTTATCTGTTTTGACAGTTTTGTCAGTTTACTAAAACACGGTCTACATAAATATTTAAACATTCCATAGCCTTCATTCACTTGTCCACAAACAATTTTCAACATTGGAATAACAAAAATTGGAAACGTGTCAACTAACATAGACCTTCTGTTCTTGACTCTGGGTGAATCAGCGCGGAGCCTACACGCCACCATTGTTTTAATTAATCTGTGATGACCCCCAGATCTTCAAATTTATGATACAGCAACACTGATTGGTAGTGCCAGCTTCTTGGCGCGCCCAATCAAATGACTCAATTTAACTGCAGTGAAATACAGCTTCTCCTAACACAGTCACACACGGGTTCGTGGGCCGGTAATCATAAATGGTCGGCATTAGCGGAACCGCGCGATTCGAACGATGTGTTCGAGAATAAAGTCTGAAAAAGGTGTTTTTTGAAGATAAAAGCATTTCACGTAAGTAACTTTTTTTCTGTAAAATTCACAAACTGGGATACCCTTTTCAATGCTGTAAACATGTAACAGTAATTCATGTTAATCCAAGAAGTTTTTTGTAATGGCAAATCTTTGAAACAGTGTTAAGAAACAAAATTATCAAGTAACAAAATTTAGATTGTAATACTTCCCAGAAATAGACTGACCAAAGTGATATGACCTTTAGCTTTTCACCACCAGTTCTCTTTTTTCATCACTAATTCACAAAATAGTCCTGTTTATAGTCTGTACTTTCCAACAGAAGTTTGGAACAAAAATAGCCAATTTTTGTAGTAAAAACTGAAAATTAACTCAAATTTTGTCTCTTGGCTCCAAAATTAGGGTTCACTTTGAGAAATATTGAAGAATATAAGAAAAAAGTGCAGAAACCTTGGGCGGGAAAATCTGGTGGTGAAGAGGTTAAGATACAAGTCAAAATGGGGTCAAAATGCTACTTGTGAGTTATGTAATAGTTATATGTGTATATTTAAGTGCATATAGCAGTGACAATATTTTGTGTCAAAATCAGTCTATAGTCACAGTCCCTCTATCATATATAGAGGGATCTGTCTATAATCAATCATTTTAGTAGCAACAGTATGTGACCTATTTTGATTCACTATTAATCTGTTTTTTGAGTATAACTGGTTTTCATAGACCAAAATGAAAAAACATTATCTTACTAAAAATATTGTCAATCTTGTAATACTTGTAATACTCCTAGACATCAGTACCTTGTAAAATATTAAATAATTTTTTTCTCCATATGCCAATAAGCAAGATTTTGAGATATATCGAACAGAAAATATCTAATATGTAAAAATAATATATTTTTACTTTTGTGCAGCATTTTACCTCAACACATTTCCTTTTTCTAAAATCTAATCTTAATCATACCCCCCCCCCCTTACAGTTATTACATGTGCATGGAGACATTACATTTAAGAACCTGTGACTTGAATTGAACTTTTTTTTTTTTAGTGTCCTTAAACATGAACTCAAATTAGCAAGTGAATTACTCATACTGATTGTTGTAATATTGTCAAAAACAGAAGATAATTTCCACAAAAAGCCCCAAATAAGTACATAAAATATGCAACAGTAGCTATGGTGGTTCAGTAGATCTGAGAGCTGATTTGAATGGATCAATAAGATAATGAGGACACATTAATTTCCACAGGAGTGGTATTGGTGCTTTCAAATATAATCATGGAGGTAACTCCGTTTTAACCTGCATAATAACCTACTATTTCAAGTGGCTATCACATATCATAAAATAAATCAGGATGATGACCCTAACAGTTTGTGTGTATCCTAGTAACATACATGTATCAGTGTGTACAATGACAGAGAATTGCCATCAACATCACCTGGATGCAAGTGACCCCACTTCTGGCACACAGAAGACATGCAAAAAGCCACTCCTCTAAGACACACTTCTGAAGTGACTAGTTATATTACATATATGTAAATATTGAATTTTAAATTAAAATGTTAAAAATGTAAACACATTATTTTAATGAAAAATTGGAGTTGGAAAGTGTACAGATGTAAGTACCACAAGATGACCTTATTTCGATAATGTATATTTAGCAATTAAGAAACCATGTCAGTAAACAACAACACATTGCCCAAGCACGACATAGTACATGTACTACTACACTATTAAATAATCGAATCTTACCTGCTTTGACAGTTTTCAGTGCAATAGGGTTCTCACCAAAATAATTTAAAAGTCCGTTGACATCCCACAGTGTGAATCCAGCGACTTTGTGTCCATTGACTTCTAATATTATCTCGTCTTGGAACAGTTTCCCACTGCGAAGTACAACTCTGTCTTGTCTGACGTCGCCTATATAGGGGAACTGTCCGTATTCAGAACCGCCCTTCACAAAAAAATTAATATTACCGTCAGGAGCACGTGAAACAACACATTCGTGCACACGTTGTGTCCAATGCTTCGGTGGCCTTGGTTTTTTAGCGTACGGTTTCGACATTTCGGTAGAGGCTTACATTAAAAAGTCCAGGTCGGCTCTAAGTTGGACAAAGTTTGGGCATTTTATAATGCCATATAAAACAGTATACTATATACACTAAAGCCCATTGCATGCAGTGATCACGCTGTCTTCATGGTCCTTGATGTTGAAAGAAGCCAATTGATTACGCAGAGCCCAATTAACGCCACCATGAAGACAAAACTAGGTAAATTTCTCAGCACTAAAAAGCATCAACAGTCCAGTTTTCCAAACCAGGCGTCCTAAACAATACGCATGCGCATACCTACATTGCGTTTGACTGTACAACCCACCCACTCCCTCTCGGGCCTACTCCCAGAGTTTATTCACAAAAATAACAGTCGTTGACAGCAATTTAAGCAAAATAGCTAATTTATAAATTTCAACAAGTGTCTAAAGTTGACTGGAATTTTCTAATTTCGGGTGAAATATATTTTATACGACACATCCGGACCTTTTTCCCCTTTTATATTTTTTTTATGACCTCATTTGTATCGCGCATGCGTACAATATTTCAATATGGCGGAAGAGAAGGGGTGGGAGTTCGACAGTTTTGATGACGGTTCTCTGAGTAAGTCAGCTGTTTACATCATCGAATTAGTCATGTATTTGCCAAAATGACACGGCATTGCGATATTTAACTCATCTGTAATTGTTTTTGCTTAGTGCCACCGATTTCGAACGAATCTTTTTACTACTGCACGAGTGTTACATGTACAATCACAAATGAATCACATGACGAACTGACTGGCTGATCAGTAATTTTCTTCATTTTAAAGAGATGGCGTCAAAGACGCAACGGAAATATGGAAATCGTAGACGAAATTATGTGAAATTTACGTATAAAATTAAATCTAAACAGAATGAACCACATGAATGGTTTAATATATTAACACGGCCCACATAAACATTGTCAGGAACGGGCCATTTAGAGTTATGAGGTATGAAGAGTTTAGGGTAATAACAAAAACCAACCTGTCTCTTGGAGACAAATAGTTCTAGAAGATCTATAATTTATTAATAAAGGATTCTCAATATGCAAAACCAACATATCAAATAAATTATAAATGTCTTAATTAAGTGGTTATCGACCCCCCCTTTTAAATAAGTCATGATTTTTGCTGACCCTGCTACTGTTTACAAGAGTAAAACCTGTTAAGAACTACTACTGTAGAACAGGAAATTATTTGCGCAGTTTAATTTTCACATAATTCAAGGAGGTAGCTCTCTGTGCTAAAATGCACGGAAAATTCGTTCCGAAAAACAAAGATTGACTTTGACATCGGGAATATCAGCTCCCATCTGTAGTTCCTTCAAAATACGGTCAATGTATAACGATTTAAAGTTAGATTTCAGCAATTCCTTGAAAGGTTTGTTGAAGTGGAGATCAAGGGATTGCAGCCGATCGGTACAACAGGCTGGAACAAACACAGTAGCAATGTTGTTGTGTAGTTTTTTCAAAAAATCTTCACATCGATGTGCTCTGAATACATCAAATATTGCCAGGGCTTTTTGTTCCCCAGCTTCTGGCGTGTTGATGTCACATACAGAATGATAACTGCGTCTGAATACCGATGCATTGTTTTCCGTATTTTTACTGGCTGTCGCGCTGTGAGTATGAACTGCAGTATTAATAGCAATAATCTCAGACGTGTGTTGGCTAGTGGAAGTGTAACACTCGTTTTTAATGTGTGAATTAGTAACAGAAATTGAATAATAAATACTCTATGTTCTTATTTGTTAAGATCCTGTTTATTGACAAACACGTATAAATAATGTATCGTCCTACAGTATTATACTTGCACATGAATGTGTACATTACTTGTATGATCACTTTGCATATCAATAACAATTTAATCAACCATTCAACAATCTACATGACCAACATTATGAGAAACACAAATGTTCATTCTTATTAATACATATATGTTCATTCCTCTGAAATATCTCCAGATCATATTAAAGACAGTAGGCCAAGAATGTGCACTCGACCAGTAAACTTATGCACTTTCTCACTCAGAAAACTGAATCTGCTGTCCATGAACTAAGCTATCGATTTAATTGTTAAATTACCTTCTCTGCTAATGTAGTTGATCTACTTTGTCAGAAGACAAAGACAAAGATAAGTCATGTAAAAACATACAAACCATGCAAGTTTCAGGTTATTTGACAGTTATGGAATAGCTAATAAATTTGCATTATTAAAATTGAAGTGCCCCAAAACAAACACAGTATGTGTCAAAATATAAATAAAAACAACAATATTTCAAAAATAATGTTAAATAAATTTTATTATTACATATGTACTGCAGTTTATTTTGATTCGTCCCTGAAATCAAAATCGGTATTTCCACAACCCATATGCAAATGAGGTCCGAGAGCAAACAAAGTAGTCCCTTCAGGAGTACAGTTTTTCGGAATAAACAATATTTAGAAGTACGA